GAAGGAAGGGAGAGAGGTTTCTGATTAAGAAGAGCAATAATTTCTGGCCCCTTTTAAATATACAAAAAGTAAATGCAATGGATTGGTTTATGAAGCATATTCACTTCCTCCCAAGTAGCCAAAAGGTGGTGCTATTTCACTTTCTTACAAAATTCAGCCCTGAATTCAGTCTTAGGAAGAACTGGAGGGAAAAAATGATCTTTGCAAAAGCATCTTCCAAAGAACTCACATACATACCACTGAAAGAAATAGAGAAAACCCTAACAATTACACATTTAGTAATCTCCCTGGTACTCAGGATGATCCCCTGGCTGGGATTATAATGCCTTTGGTCAAGGTGGCTGGCAATTTGGTAAGCTATAATCTCAAAACACTGGACAGCATTAAATTGGAAAGGCTGTATTAACCCCCGGTTTCTTGCCATTAACTTTTTTATTCCTCAGCAGAGTCTCCCTTTTAAGATGCCATATTTTGGTTTGTTCACCTAACAATCAATCAATTTGTGTTCTAAAAATCTGGGCCTATGGCAGGGGCATGCACAAAGAATGGAAAAAAATGTCACAATGGTGGCTGAAAAGACGAGACTGAAGCTATGCCTGTTTTTACATATCTGTTGACACATATAAAAAGGGGGCAAGTTTTTGACTGCACAACTGCATTGCCATCTTGATTATATATATATATATATATTTCCCTCTATTGTGGATGTCCCTGCCCTATTGAGTGCTCATCATTCACACACATAGACTTCTTGAAGCCACTTCTGGATTCATAAAAGTCAACTAAGCAAATGTCCTGTAATTTTCATCTCCGGGATAAGGAGTTCTCAAGTGCCGGTTTTTAATTGCGTCGCATACATCAGTGGGGTTGATTACAAAATGAAGAAATAGCTGAAATGAACTTTGTTCACCTCAAACCCTGGAAATAAACCCATCGAAGATGGCATTGATGTGCTGAGTGTTTTGCTCTCTAATAGTTTTCAAAGCCACGCTGCCTTCTCCTATTTCATGCAGGTTAAAAAACTAGTTAAACCTTAGATTTTCCTAATGCTTTTTTTCCCCTCAGAGATATATCTTCTCTGCCTTGCAGTTTGATCTAAAGAATTTGTAAAATTAATAGATGGCTTCTTTTGATGGTCTCGCCTGCTTTTTCCCTGTTCAGTTTTAAAATGTATATTAATACTCAGGCTCACAACTTAAATCAAATGACATATCACCGATACAATGTCATCTTTTTGCATTGTACTTATATCCAAGGGTGAGATTCTACCAGTTCGGGTGAACTGGATATTAAAGTTATATCTGGTTTGCCAAACCGCTATTTCAACCGACCGGCTGTCCCTGCCCACCCCCTCCCAGGAATCTCAACACGGCCCATTTTAGATGGAGGTAAGTGCAGGGTCTGTGCAGAGGCTCTGGGTGGGGGAAAATGGGCCTTCCAGAAGTCCGGAAATGGGCCTGTTTCCGGCTTCTGGATGGGGCCTCCAAAGCCTGGGAGAGTCCGTTTTTGCCCTTCCAGAGGCCCGGGGAAGGCCTCCGGACCCTTGGGAGGATGAAAACGGCCTTCCCCTGAGCTCTGGAGGCCCACCGGAAGCTGGAAACAGAAAGTTCCAGTAGGCCACGCCCACCCAGCAACCGGGCAGAGAACCGGTTGCTGGGATTCTTGAATCCTACCCCTGCTTATATCCATGTGCAAGTATGCTAGGGAACACTTGCAATGGGCTAAGAGGGGCTGGAAAACATAATGAGAAGAATTCAGGCCAATCTAAAAAAAAATCAATGAAAATTAAAAAAAAAAAGAACATAGTGCCAAAGCATTGGTGACCTTCCTAATTAAAACAACAGGAACTGAGAACCTAAAAATCTCAGGAAAAAAATGAGTGTGAAAGTGTCAGGAGCATGCTAAGCCCAAATGATTGATATTGGACATAGAAACAATGTTCATTGGTCACATCTTTGAGGGAGAAATCAGGTTTTATTTACTGCAAAATGGCAAGAGCTTGCTTTGGAAATTAATGAACCAGAGCACAATACTTTGGGGATAGATTTATTAAGTGAAGCTGGATACTGACAGTGACCTTCATTCTTTATGTACGTTTACAGAAAGATTTTTTGGGGAAAGAAAACGTTATGAAACTTACTTAAATCACCTTTCCGGGCAACGGAGGTGGCACAGTGTGGACACTGGTATTTTGGTACATTTTCCCCATGTTTATGCAAAACATGGAACTTCAAAGTCCCAGCCTGTGTGAATCTGGCTTTGCAAATCACACATTCAAAGGGTTTTTCACCTAGAAGGAAACACATACTTGTAAGAACTGGTAAACTAGAGAGCAAAACATCACAGCTGAAAACGACAACATATTTTCCAGATCCTAATTTTTTGCATCCTCACCCTGAACGGATGCTGCATCCATGCCCCCATAACGCTGTGGGGCTTCTGTAGGATTTCTGCAGATTTCAACTTCTGTTACAGTAGAAAAGAAAGGCTCCAAACATGGATTCCTGAGCTATGGAACAGACGTTTTCTCACTGATGGGAATTCTTGCCCACCTGACCACCTAGATATCTTTTTAGGTTATCTCACTTCCTTGCCACCATTTCACTGAACTCCATTTAGGTTAGATTGGAATGGAATAGAATTAGAAGGGACCTTGGAGGTCTTCTAGTCCAGCCCCCTCTTCAAGCAGGAGACCCTATACCATTTCAGACAAGTGGCTGTCTAGTCTCTTCTCAAAAACTTCCAGTGATGGAGCGCCCACAACTTCTGAAGGCAAGCTGCTTCACTGGTTAATTGTCCTCACTCTCCTTAATTCCAGGTTGATTCTCTCTTGGATTCGTTTCCAAATAATTTTCTCTTGTTTTGTCTCCAAATCCACTGAATACCCGACTTGGCTATTCTGGAGTACCATCTGCTTCCAACTGTTCCGCCTTGCTTTTTTTGCTCACGTGCCTGTCTTTCTTCCTTTAGTGGCTCAGCATCTCATAGCCCCACAGGACCAGGCATTAGTGTTACTCTGCTTTAATGGCAGCCATTATAGTTTTAATACGTACCTGAGTGAGTTACCATATGTCTTTTCAATTTGTAAGTGTCCCTACTAGCATAGGAGCACACCGTACAACTGTAAGGACGCTCTCCTGTATGTGAGCGAATGTGGCGCTTCAATTTGCTGCCCTGCAATTTACAAAAGAAGATTCTGAATTACAAGTACATGGAGGATATTACTGAAACCATTCAGTTAAAAAAAAAAGTTGGCTTTTTAGAAACGCTGCTAAGTGCTTATCACTAGAACATGCCGTTGCATCTTCTAAAGCAGAGGTGTTAAACTCAAGGCTTGCAGACCGGATGTGACCCCCGGGTGCTTAGATCTGGCCCGCAGGCCCGCCCTGGAAACAGCGAAGGACCGGCCCGCAGTGCCTCTGCCAGCGGAAACAGAGCTCGGTGGGGCTGCGTGTTGCCCTTGCAAGCTCCATTTTTGGCCACGACAGCTTCCTGCAGTCCTCTGTCAGCAAAAACAGAGCTCGGAAGAGGGTATTTTCTCTGGCAGAAGTTTGCAGAAGGCTGTCATGGCTGAAAATGGAGCTTGGGAGCCTGTTCTTGCTGGCAAACCACTTGGGCCATAGGTGCTTTCAACACGAGTGACCATGCCTACCCTGGCCATGTTGGTCAAGCTGGCCACTCCCATCCTGGCCAGGCCAACCCCAGTCCCCCGAGGTCAAACACAACTCTGATGCGGCCCTCAATGAAATTTGACACCCCTGTTTAAGGGCCATATTGGCTGAGGAGTTCTGGGAGTTGAATTACACACACATCTTAACTTGCCAAGCTTGAGAAAGACTGAATTTGGTGTCACTGCACCCATTGAACAACTATGATTAGCCTCTACATCATTCTCTTTTACAATAGTTCTGCAGCATTCTGAGCCTATCAGTAATCTGGTGTTTGTGAAAGCATATATAGTGCAACAGTTGTTTTCCATTAGTCCATCTTCTGGAGGCAGCAATTGCAAAACCGACCCAATTGCAAAATCGAAACTTTCCCAGCTCCATTTTTGCTGGCAGAGGGCTGCAGGAGGCCGTCATGGCTGAAAACAGAGTGTCAGCTTTGGAAACTTTCAGATTCAGAATTTAACAGATAATCAGAGTTGGAAGGGACCTTATAGGTCATCTAGTCCAATCCCCCACCCAAGCGGGAGACCGTAAACCATTTCTGACAAATGACAGTCCAATCTCTTCTTAAAAGTCTCAAGTAATGATGCTCCCACAACTTCCGAGGGCAAGCTGTTCCATTGGTTGATTGTTCTCAACCAATGAGTTTGATTTCCCAGATGTGCCAGTTTACTACTCTAATAAAAGGAAACTTTGAGAAGGTCTGTCTCGGAGTTATTGACTGGAGTTGAGCTTTTCTGGAACACTGACACAGAGCTTCGATGAGTGATGCCCACGTTGGCCACACCCCCGGCCCAAGGTCAAACACAACCCAGATGCGACCCTCAATGAAAAAGAGTTGTGACATTCCTGTTCTAAAGCAAGGGTCTCCAAACATGGCAACTTTTCAATACTTGTGGACTTCAACTCCCAGAATTCAGGGAGTTAAAGGAGCCATTCACGTCTCTCCCTTATCATCTCCTCCCTGCGTGCCCTAGGATGGGGATGGGCCTGGGGTCTTCCTCTGACTGCCCAGCCGGCCTCTGCCCTTCTCCAGCCTCCTCCACAACCTCCGGAGCCACACTTCCATTCCCTGACGGCTGTTCCTCCTCTCCCTCGGAGTCAGTCTCCAACAGGGGCATGACAGCTTGACTGTGCATAAAAACCCCTATAAACTATGGCTAATTATCCAAATTGCATAGCAAAGCTGAGCAATTGGCAATTTTGTGAGTATATGCAGCAATGAGAGACAACAGATATACACAGATCTTCACATCCTTTTATATTACTCCCCTTTTATTTAACATTGCTTTTCCAAGTGTATATCTTGTCTCCAAAAATGAAAAAAAAGAAAGAAAATATTGTTTAAAGAATTCTGCAATCTGCTCTCCCTTGACTGACATCTCATTAAGTTTATAAAAAAAATAAATCAATGCTAAGGGCTCCCACTTCATCCGTGGAACATTCACAAGAATATTTTAAGGCTGATTAGAAACAAACTACTGTTTTCAAGAAGAGTTGAAAGGGGTTTAAGCTTCTTGTCTTTCTTTCATCCCGCAAGGCAAACAGATTTCTGAACACGATACAAAATCTATTTACCAGAAGCAGGAATGAAATGCAGGTATTACGACAAGCTTCAAAGGCTCTTCTCAAATCTCCCAGCCGTCTGAAATATGGAGGATGACCTCAAACAGGGATTCCTTGCAACCATCGTGGTTTTCATTCCACATTAGATTAAACCCCGCATTTGCTTACTACTTCTAGAATGTATTTTGCTGGGATTTTGTTGTCCTTGCTTTAAAAAGCGTCTTGCAGAGGCTTGTTTTCCTCCATGTAAGGTGTATTTGTTGTAAAGAATTAGCACCACTGTTTAAGAAAAGGACAATTTTTTTAGCAAGTCTGAAAGGGATAAAGGTGAAAAGTCTGTAAACCAAGTCCTACAGGGAACAGTTAAAGATCTGAATATATGTAATCCATAGAAAAGACTATATGTAACCTATAGAAAAGATTCAAATACTTTGGCTACCTCATGAGAAGGAAGGACTCACCGGAGAAGAGTCTAATGCTGGAAATGATTGAGGGCAATAGAAGAAGAAGGGGACGACAGAGAATGAGGTGGATGGATGGAGTCACTGAAGCAGTAGGCGTGAGTTTAAATGGACTCCAGAAGATGGTAGAAGACAGGAAGGGCTGGAGGAATGTTGTCCATGGGGTCGCAATGGTCGGACATGACTTCACAACTAACAACAACAACATAGTCAATTGTAAGTAGCTGTTTAGCAACCACAACTTGGTTATTAAACAAGGGGTCACTAAGTGAACAGCAACTGCTCTTATGATCTTGCTTCACGTTTCTTTTGCTTTACAGACTTGCAAAGATTTTAAATGGAAAGGATTGGTAGGAAAGTTATTTCTTCATTATTAAATGTCTAACAGTTGCTAAATGAAGGGTACCTGTAACGGAAGATGTAACAGCAGTCTTTAAGCAAATAAAATCTAACACTAAGTGAAAACTAAGATGGCTGTAGACCAGTGGCCCCCAACCTTTTTTGTGCCACGGCCCGGCATCACAAAATGATCCGCGGCCCGGTACTGGCATCAGCACGCATGACAAGGCAAGGTGAGCCGAGCAACCGGACAGCCAGCCGTCCCCCGCTTCTCCCCGCCACCTTCAACTCCTCCTTTGTACCTTTGTCAATGGGCTTCGCTTCAGGACGGTCGCTCGGCTCGCCTTGCCTTGGGTGCTGAAAGAATCCTTGCACCTTAGTTCAAAGCCCACCCCCCCTTCGATGAAACTAAGGCACGAGGATTCCTTCAGGACCCAAACGCCGCTTTCCAACCGGAAAAGCTCACCCAGAAGCTCTTTCTCATCAAACAAGATGGCGGCACCCAGCAAACCGGCGGCCCGGTAGGAAATGTTCCACGGACCGGTACCGGTCCGCGGCCCGGTGGTTGGGGACCCCTGCTGTAGACAATTCCTGTTTGAGGTCACCTTCCAAATTTCAGGTGACTTTGAGAAGAGCCTTTGAGGTGTATCTTAGTACCATTTCCCCGAAGGGAAGATATTCAGGCTAGATATCAGGAGAAACTTTCTAACTAAGCAACTTGTCAGCCAGTGGAAAAGGGTCTCACAACAAATGGCTAGTTCTCTATAACTTAGGGTCTTCAATCAGAGGCTGGATCGGATCTGGCCATTTTACAACCCCCACCCCCACCCCCCAGGTCACATCCAGCCCTTTGTCTGACCCTGTCCAGCCAACGTGAGGTCAATCGGAAATTAGAAAAATAAAAATAAGTGTATGACATGCTCACAATTATAATTGCATTGCTTTTACTTTGGAGGTGATTGCTGTTTTTTTGTTTTTTCAATTTATGTATATGCATGCATGCCTTCTTGGGAAAATTAATTGGACTAGATCAGGGGTATCAAACTCAAGGCCCGGGGCTGGATCCTGCCCAAGGGGTGCTTAGATGTGGCCCACGGGGCTGCCCTGGAAACAGTGAAGGACCAGCCCCTGGTGCCTCTGCCAGCGAAAGTGGAGCTTAAGAGGGCCATGGGCAGCCCTCAAGAACTCAAGTTTTCGCTGGCAGACAGTTGCAGGAGGCCGTTGCAGCTGAAAATGTAGCTCGCGACCCCGTTTTTGCTGGGAGAATGCTTGGGCCCCCACAGGCGCTCTTGGCATGACTGACGTCAAGCTGGCCACGCCCACCCTGGCCACACCCACTCCACTCCCCCCCTCCCCAAGGTCAATGAAATCTAATTTGACACCCCTGGACTAGATAGTCATCTGACAGAGATGCTTCAGTACAGCCATTCCCAACCTTTCTGGCTTGGGGATCAGTGGCGGTGGGGGGGTGGGAGGAAGAAGAAGGAATGGTTCTTTGAGAGTGGTGGGCAAGCATGCACAGTCAGTTACATTTGCATGAGCAGCAGGCGCACATGCCGCTCACATAAACTGAGCTGCGCACTTGTGTGGCCCAATTTAAAATGGCTGCAGCCTGCTACCATGCTTTGGCCCAAGGATTGGGGACCTGTGCTTTAGTAAATCTTACACTCAAGTTTGTTTAAGGAACTTAAAAACATAGAAAAATATAGTTGGAGGGGACCTTGAAGGTCTTCTAGCCCAATCCCATTTAAGCAGGAGAGCCTACAGGATTATAGACAAATGGCTGTCCAACCTCTTCTTAAAACCTCCAGTGATGGAGCACCCACAACCTTTGGAGAAAAGCCATTTCACTGATTGTTCTCAGTGTCAGAAAGTTTCTTAATTCTAGGTTGGATCTCAATCACACTTGCAGTATCATGCTAGCCTAAAGGTCCTGTGATGACCCAAAGTGTACCACAAACGTAACAAAATCCAAAACGTAAATAAACGTCCTTTAATGCCTCCAACTTGGCCCCACTGTTCAATAATACTCAGTTGGAGATAAAACATACTCAAAAATAGTCTTCAAAAGAAAATTTAATGAGCAGATAGAGGTGAAATAAAAAAAACCAAACAAACTACAATGATGAAATTTCCACAATGGAACAGAAGTATTTACCAAATTCAAGGAGATAACAGGGCACAGTCTGTTGGAAGGACGCCAACCAAGGTAACTTCAGCCCCAAATAAAACATGCTTTGTTTCCAGCGTTTGCCAGTACGCAAGTCCAAACTCTTATGCAGTGGTCACACTTGCAACACATAAAGAGGATCAAGGCCCTCTCCTCGCAAGTAGACCACATCTCTCCCTATCCTCTCCTCCCTGCATGCCCTAGGATGGTTAGGGGATAGGCCTGGGCTGACTGCTCAGCCGGCCTCTGCCCTTCCCCAGCCTCCTTCACAACCTCTGGAGTCACACTTCCACTCCCTGTCGGCTGTTCCTCCTCTCCCTCAGAGTCAGTCTCCACCAGGGGCATGACAGGTCCCACCCACCCACCCCTACTAACTGCAATGTGCGTTGTTAAATGTGCATTTATGAGGAAGGAATTTCGCTTCCTTTTACTTCTAAATTCCCTACCAACTATGCTTCTAACTGAAAATGTACACACCATGAATGGCAGGGCCTCTTTCAAAGGAAACCTCATCTTTCTCTACTCAGTCAAGGGAGAACTTTGCAAAACGATTCTGCAGAGAACAATCCGTCTTACCTCTACGCTGCAATAGTTACAGATGGAGCATTTAAAGGGCTTCTCCAGAGTATGTTTATATCGCTTGTGGCGGGAAAGTTCCCCCACTGTCACAAAGGCCATATCACATTCATTACACTTGTGTGGCTTGGTCCCTGCAAAATAGAAGCAGAATTTCAAAATGTATTCAACTGAAACATTTAAATCCAAGTCTACCTGGAATACTGAGGAATTTGTTGTGATAGCAGGCTGTTAGTTTTACATCTACCTAGGCACGGAATCCAGTAAGGTGGAAAATGACTCATCAAACACTTCAAATCAACCTAGAAATGCTGATAATTTTGTGCATAGGATTAGCATCTTTAAAAAGAAAAGTTAAAATAGCAGGTGGTAGAGATGAGGTAAAGCAACATCAGGTGTGCAGGAGATACTTAGTCCTGATTTTGTTATAGTGGGGAAAATAGAAGGAAGAAGGAAGATTAGACTTGTGTTTCTGCCTTGAGTTATTTTTAAAAATAGTAAAGGCAGGATAAAATTGCAATAAATAGAATACATTAACTTGAAAAACATTAATGTATTGGTTGTGATTTACTTATTGAATGTGACTTGTTTTGAAGTGTGAGGATGCATTTGTGCTTGGCAACCAAAAGAACATAAAGGGAAAAACAGCTAGACTGAATGAAAAACGACAACAAAGTAGTCTATTAAGTATGTCTGGGAAGGAATCTGATAGAATTTGATTCAAAGGGAATGAGAGGGTACAGTGAATAACACTGTGAAGAAATTTGGTAAATAAATAATAAACAAAGGTAAACAACAGTGTAGAAATTTGATAAATAATAGATAAAGGCAAATAAATAAAAGTCTAGAAATTTGATAAATAAATAAATGTAAATAAAATCTGAAATAACACTATGGCTTTATGCCAGACAGATTATGCACACCGGATTTTTGCTCTTCAACAGATAACAGAAATTTATGAATATGAGGAGAAAAGGTTATGGTCTGCCTGTTGATTTAGAGAAAGCACATTATCTCATAAATAAGCTTGAATTACGGAATGTTTTGAGAGTTGCAAGTTGGTTACAACTGAAGTGATGAAAGTAAAGCAGATATAACAAAGAGTGGAATGCTAAGTAAATTGAGCAAGGATTAATAGTAAGGTGTGTGATAAATCCTTCCTTGTTTATTGTACTTAACAGTAAATGTATACAGCATTTATTTATTTAAGAAAATTTATATAGCCGCCCAACTCTTTCAGTGACTCCTGGGGTTTACAAAGATAAGAATTCTTGTGGTGAGATTGTTTGGGGGCGTGAACCTGCACTTTAATATGCAAATTGTGTCATGTTGGCTGGGAACCTGAATGAATTGCAATGATTCATGGATATGAATATGGATCAAAAATTCACATTTCAAGGCTCAAGGTAGAGTAATATTTTAATTTAGCAGACATATGTGTTATATCAGTGTTTCTCAAGCTTGGGATCTTTCAGATGTATGGACTGCAACTCCAGAATTCCACAGCCAGCTATACTAGGGAGAATTTTACTTAACTTTTACTTCTAAATTCCCTACCAAATATGATTCTAACTAAAAATGCCAAATGCCAAAATGCCCAAAAAAATTAGTTTACTTTATTGTCATTGCACCTCATACAATGAAATTAAATGACATCTTCAGTGTACATTACACATAAAAAATAAAACAAAAACATACATCCTTCACATTCTATACAACTGAATTGAAAACCCCTGATATTGCATTAATATACTCAGTCAAGGGACAAAATGATTCTTCAGAGAACAATGCTTCTTACCTCTACAGTGCAGTAGCTACGGATGGTGCATTTAAAGGGCTTCTCCATGTAATCCTTGACTTACAGTTTGTTAAGTGAATTTTGCCTCATTTTATGACCTTTCTTGTATGAGACAGTTACCAGGCACCTGAATTTTGTCCATGTGACCATGAGAATGCTGTAATGGTTTTAAGTGTGAAAAATGGACATAAGTGACTTTCTTCAGTGCTGTTGTAACTTTGAACTGTCACTAAATGAACTTTTGTAGGTCAAGGACTAGAATGAAATGCAAGTCTGCAATGGCAATAAAATATGGTGAGGCTTACTCAATGGTGTTGATATGAAATAGATTTAGGTGTATTTCCTTTCCTTTTATATTCTTCCTCTACTTTTTTTTTTTTGCTTAACACTTCTTAACTCTTTTTTGTTTTCTGCACTTTGCATTATGCTACTTATCCTGAAAAGGAATGAGAGTACATGGGTATGTACATATATAAATAGTTTTTAAATGAAACTACATGCTCACTCTGCCTAATGGTAGGGTTCTGAAACGGGCAAACATACTAGTGCTCCAATCTCTGCACAAAGATGAAGAAGCGAATTCTTGGCATATCTCAAAGTAGCAAACCCTAAGAAAGTTGGTGGAGAATTTTTTCTGGATGAACGAGTTCTTTAGAGACCATAATTTTAGTCTCAGCTAATCAAGGCTAATCCCTAGCACTGCGTAATGGAGTGAGCTCCCGTTACTTGTCCCAGTTGCTGCCAACCTAGAAGTTTGAAAGCATGTAAAAATGCAAATAGAAAAATAGGGACCACTTTGGTAGGAGGTAAGTGTTCCATGCGCCTTTGGCGTTTAGTCATGCCGGCCACATGACCACAGAGACGTCTTTGGACAGTGCTGGCTGTTCGACTTTCTAACAGAGATGAGTACTGCCCCCTAAAGCCAGAAACGACTAGCACGTATGTGCGAGGGGACCCTTTACCTTTACTAATCAAGGCAGGCAAAATTTGTTGCTTTCTATACTCACCAATTGGTTAAAAAAAAAAAACCAGTCCTTGCAAAATATTCCCAAACAGAAAACTAAGAGATGACTATTTTATGTGAGAGGGATTGTCAGGGTTCTGACAAAGGCCCTAATTAAATCATGAGTTTCAAGCCAAGCTTCAAAAGAAACCCAGTTATTTATTAGGAGCTTCATGCCAGTACGGACCAGTCAGAGCCAACTCTGACCTCAGTTAATTTGTGCTTTGGCTCTGATCCTGCTTCCCCCTCCCCCCAATATGTGTTATCAGTCACATTCCCTAACGAAGCAATTTTGTGGGTTGTAAAAGTCCCTCCCTCTGGCCACTGTGGGTTCCCATGGAGATGACCTTGGCATTATCAGTTGGAATGTGCCTTGTTTTGACTGAGATATCAGCTCCTTGATGCAGCAGCGAAGTTCGCTCTCCCATCCCGCTTGGCCATGGCAACTCGAGAGCAGTTCAGGGATGCTTTGCAAGTTGACAGTGATATTTCTAAGATTGGTCATAAAAATAATTGAACAAACTGTAAAGACATCTTCTAGCGAGAGGTTCAATTTACCCAGAAGGCAGACATACCTGTATGAGTGTTCAGGTGGTTACGCAGCAGAGAAAGCGTACGGAAAGCTTTCAGACAGATGTGGCACTGGTGTGGCTTATCGTGGGAATGTTTCTTCATGTGGCGTTTAAGGCCAGACAGACTGGATGTGGTGAACAGACAGAGATTGCAGTGTTGCTGAATGCTTCCTGAAAGAAAGTTGCTGCCTAGGTTAAATAACTCATCAAAAGCCACCTCTCCTTAACTTAAAACACAAATGTTCATCTCTTGCCTTTCACACCCAGGTGGTAACATTTATTTATGTATTTGGTAAATTTATATAGCTGCCTATCTCACTATGACTCTGAGCTATGTATACAGTTAAAAACACAAGACAATAGAATAAAATTACAAAAATCAATAAGAAAGAAAACAACAAAAAATGAAGGGGAAAAAAAGAAACAATCTGTGGAAGAATGTGGTCAATTTTTCTAGCAATACGGCTAGTTTGCAGGTTCCATATCCATGTTAGCAAACTAAAAATTGTAGATCTATCATCTGCACCTCTATAACTGTCTGGTTTGGTTCTGCAACCCAACAGGACAGACACAGATTTCAGAGGATAATTAGGACTACAGAAAAAACAATTACTACCAACTGCCTTCAATTGAGGACCTGTATACTACACAAGTCAAAAAGAGGGCTGTGAAAATATTTACAAACCCCTCACATCCCAGACATAAACTGTTTCACCTCCTTCCCTCAAAACGATGCTATAGAGCACTGCACACCAGAACAACTAGACACAAGACCAGTTTTTTCCCGACAGCCATCACTCTGCTAAAAAAATAATTCCCTCAACATTGTCCAACTATTTACAAAGTCTGCACTACTATTACTGTTAATCTTCTCATCACTCCTTATCACCAATCTCCTCCCACTTGTGATTGTATGGCTGTAACTTTGTCACTTGTATCCTTACGATTTATATTGACTGTTTCCTAGTGTGATTTGATTGCTTATTGTACCCTATGATTATCATTAAATATTGTACCTTATGATTTTTGACTCTTGACAAATATATCTTTCATGTACACCAGTGGTAGTCAATCTGGTCCCTACCGTCCACTAGTGGGCATTCCAGCTTTCATGGTGGGCAGTAGGGGTTTTGCCCCCTACTTTATAAATCAACATTACTATGGAACTGGTGAGCGGTTAGATAAAATTTTACTATTAACAGAGATACGAAAGTGGGCGGTAGGTATAAAAAGGCTGACTACCCCTGATGAACACTGAGAGCATTTGCACCAAGCATTTGTGTGTCCAATCACACTTGGCCAATAAAGAGTTCAATTCAATTCAATTCTGCTCTACTCTATTCTATTTTCTATTCTAGATCCAGGTGGCCTTAAGACCCGGATAGACGACAAAGTCATGTCTTTAGACTGTTCCAGATGGGTTTGGAGCTAATCTGATTTCAGGGGAAATGATGTTCTAAGAGCAAGGGTATCCAATCTTGGCAACTTTAAGACCTGTGGAGTTCCATTTCCAGAATTCCTCAGCCAGCCATGCTTCACCCAGCAGAGTGGATCCTGCGGTCCCAACAATATAGGGACTAAGGGAGAGACCACCAGTATTTGAGGGACTGCCACAAAGAAGAGGAGGTCAAATTATTCTCCAAACACCAGAGGGCAGGACAAGAAACAAGTGACTGATTGTAAATCAAGGATTTCCTATATAACATTTGCCTGCAATTTTTGCACAGAAGATTGAAATTCATTTAGTAAATATTTTTCTTCCTGTATCTTTTTCTTTCCTTTCCTTTTCAAACTTTGTAATTCTTTTTTACTCTCTTCAGTCTTTTTGATTTATGTTTGCATTACCTTTTAATAATGTCAAATGTTTCAAGAAAATGTACTTTAAAAACAAAACACCAAACCACTAGAATGAAATAAGCTTGGTCAATTAAACATTCATTTTGACTGGTTTTTCATGACATTGTTGATATGGCACTGCAATATTTGCTAGTAAGGAAATGTTCATTTGATTGTCACAGGTTTTTTATTGGTGCTTATTTTCATTGCTTCCATTGTTTAAGAAGTCTTGGGAGAACTGTGACAATTCTTTACGCACAAAGTTGGCCTAAACAGATTTATCATAAGTAAATAATTCCATAAACATAATCCCTGCCTTCTTATATTGCCTATTTGTGAGCAGTTCACATTACTCAAAATTGCAAGATGGATGGCTGTATAAATTGTTATGACAAGTCAAAGGCAGATGGATTACGCTTTAGATGGATTTTCGTCTTATTAAGACAAGCACCATCTTGACTTTCTGAATCCCCCACAGATGTTCCTGGATTTAGTGATGTTGTGTGTTGTATCTGAAAGGTAAACTGTTTTACAGCTGCATTCTTTAACAGCCCTTTATTAAATGTTCTCCTAAGTGATGCTAGATTTTGCTTGTAAAATTCAATTACTTATATGTGTTACTTATGCTTGTCAAAGCCCTTTAAAAGGACTACTTCAAAATGACAATTCAGGTATGAGTATGCTAAAAAAAAAACCCATCGGACATCAGGATTAGGCCAATGCACTAAGTAATCACTGAAAAACCTCTCCACAATTTTATTTCTTCAGTAATTTTTCATTCATTTTCCAATAAACTATTTCTGCTGCATGCCTATTCTTTAAAAAACCTGTTATACTTAAAACAATTCTGAATGCATTTTCTTCTTTTATTTGTTTATACCGAGTTAGAACAAAGCTCATAAAGTGAGTTCATTCATTTTTCATACTTGCCTGCTACATCTTCGGCCTGTTTAGCGCAACCTAAACAACCTCTTGATTCTGCACAGATCTGAATACCAGACGTGGAACTGGGGAGGTCTAAGTTCATATTTCTATTTAGCATCTGATTTTGACATAAAAGCATCTAATCCCCCTTACCTTCCATTTGAGCTGTGCTATCCGCCAATCCTTGAAATGGCAAGATATTATTCTGGCAAGAAAAATGCTGTCTCACCACTGAACCTTATCTTGTCTCTCCTGTCTATCCCAAGTTACTCCGGGGCAGTGTTTCTAACCTTGGCAAGGTTAACCTGTATGGACTTCGATTCCCAGAATTCCTAACTTAGCTGGGAGTTGAAATCCAGATATCTAAAAATTGCTAAGGTTTAAGAAACCCTACTCTAGGGCTTGAGTTTCCTTGCAGGTGAATGGGTGACAACTAAAGGTATTTTATAAAACTTGAGGCTGCCCTTGGTACAGCCTTGGAAGGAGAAAAATATTGCAACCCTGAACAGTTAAGGAGATTTGCGTTTGTCTCACTTGTGGGCAGGGGATGAATTAAAAGCAGCATTGTGGGAACATGCCTGAGAAAAGACGCTGGCAGGCTATGTACTTTGTACAGAGTTTGTATTACTGTGATGAAGAAAGATTCTCAATCTTAACTACACCATAGAGCAATTACAAGAGGAGAGGAAAAGAACTAGTTCCCTCTAAGACAGGGGGTATCAAACTCAAGGCCCAGGGACCAGATCTGGCTCTCAAGGTACTTAGATCTGGCCCGCGGGACGCCCTGGAAACAGCAAAGGACTGGCCCACGGTGCCTCTGCCAGTGAAAATGGAGTAGGCAGCCCTCCCAAACTCTGTTTTCACTGGCAGAAGGTTACAGGAGGCTGTTGCAGCTGAAAACGGAGCTTCGAAACTCATTTTTGTTGGCAGAACGCTCGGGCCACCACAGGTGCCCCCAACACGAATGATGTTGAGGTGGCCACATCCCTGCAGTCAAACACAATCCTGATGCAGCCCTCAATGAAATCGAGTTTGACACCCCCTGTCAAAGGTATCAGACTGAAAATCAGGAGACTGGGAGTTCGAGTCCTGCCTTAGGCATGAAAGCCAACTGGGTGACTTTGGGCCAATCCCCAGGAGACGGTGAGTTTTAGTCTCTTCTTTGGCCAGCTGGGTGACTTTGGGGCAATCATTTCTTTTCAGCCCATTTCACCTCACAGAGTTGTGGTTGTGGGGAAAATAGGAAGAGGAAGAAGCATTAGATACATTCAACACTTTGACATTATTTACAAAAACAATAAACGCAAGCTAAAAAAAATCTAAAATAAAAATAAAAGGAAGAAATGAAACCATATATGCAGGCTTTTGCTTCTTAGAAGGATGGCACACAAACATAACAAATCATAAACAAATATCAAGAGTTGAAGAAGAAGAATGAGAACTGCCCTAGAGGACAGCTGTACCCTAAGTAGATAGATCAAGACTTCTTATTCAAGGCAATAAACTAAACAATTAACCTAATACACTACCAAAAGATTGGTCATTGTTTGAGTTTCTTATGACCTTGGTAAGTTACAAATAAAAGAAAGCATTCTGTAGTATGGATTTTCCTACACATGAGCTCCAATAATTCATATTTCTATAGTTTTATTGAGTAGTCAATTGACCGTATTATCAACACTCTTAACAGTAAAAACATGAATTCAGGCTGAGTTACCTACACATAGATAATTACAGGTAGTCCTCAAGTTACAAGCACATTTGAGCCCAAAATTTATGTTGCTATATGAAACATTTGTCAAGTGAGTTTGCCCTGTTTTATGACTTTTCTTCCCACAGTTGTTAAGTGAATCATTGCATTTGCTAAATCAGTAACATGGTTGTTCACTGAACCTGGCTTCCTCATTGACTTTGCCGGACAGAAGGTTGCAAAAGGGGACCGCATGACCTTGGGACACAGCAATGGTCATAAATATGAACCGGTTGCCAAAAGTCTGAATTTTGATCACGTGACCCTGGGGAAACACTGCAATGGCCGTTAAGTGTGAAAAATGCTCCTAAGTCTCTTTTTTCAATGCCGTTGTAACTTTGAACGGTCCCTAAAAGAAACTGTTGTAAGTCGAAGACTACCTGTGTGGGTAGATGAATTAAAAGACAAGTTAAGGAGGAGGAGGAGCAAACATTGTTAAGAACTTCTCTGCTGATTGGAGTGAAAGTCCACCTACTTTCCTAACAACAGCTTGCAGCCTGCTGCTGATGTCAGTATTCTTCAAGGAACTGGAAGTTCTTCCCTTTACAACCATAGGTATCTAAAAATAAAACTGTGCAAGTGATTTTATACCTTTCCCTTGCTGGACTATGCCCTCCTGGATTTCTGAAGAAACGTCACCGTTGATTGCAACAGGAGGTTGGGATACACAGTCCTTGCTCGGGGTTTTATTTTCAGAATTGTGCAATCGTGTGGCTCCATTTGGAATATCTGCTGCTTCGGAGTCAGGCAGAGAGATAATCCTTCCCTCTTCAGCTACAAGGAGCTGCTGGTCCCTGACTCCACCTCCAGATCTTTTTTCTTCTCTATCAACCTGTGTTTAAAGGAGCAATATATGTGCATGAAACCAATCCAATTTCAATGGGGGCAGCATCCATGACCAAAAAGATAATTTCTTATACTGTATCATTTAGAAGTTATTCCAATGATATTTTTTTTTGCTTTATTTGTTTAATAAAACACAACAAAGGGAAGGTGAAAGAGAAAATAAACAATAATAAAGAGAGAGAGAAAGGAAGAAAAAAAACTACACAACAAATAGAAAATTCTCATCTCTTTCTTGGTATATTTACGACTTATTACTCAGTAGCCATTACAATGAACCCCCTCAAAAAGGAACTTATCATCTGGTTTTGAAATTCTGACATCTGCCCCCCACAGTCATATGGTCCACATTTTGGATTCTGGGTAAAATAATTATGACCGTTTGCAGCACCTTGAGGTCACCTGGTTACAATTTACTATGTTTTTGCCTATAGATTATTGTAAAAATCTTTATATGGTACATTTCTAATGGGAAAAGCCTCATCTTAAAGTAAGTGGCGCATTGATTAGAATGCAGTATTTACTGTAGGCTACTTCTGCTGACTGCCGGCTGCCTGAAATTTGGTAGATCGAATCTCACCAGGCTCAAGGTTGACTTAGCCTTCCGAGGTGGGTAAAATGAGGACCCAGATTATTGGGCGCAATAGGCTGATTCTGTAAACCAGTTAGAGAGGGCTGTGTAAGCACCGTGAAGCGGTATATAAGTCTAAATGCTATTGCTAAGTGCTATTCAAAAACAGAAGCCAGATGTTCCACCACTAATAATGTTCTCCCAAAAGAGAATGGGACATCTTGCCACAGCTAACTCACCATGGACAACTTGGTGCAGGACAACTCTCCATGGGCAATTCACCGCGAGACTACTCATTACGGGACAATTTAACAATTCTATTTAATTATTTAAAATAAATAAAAAATATTTTAATTTTTGCCATTCATATTTCATCCTGTCCCTTCTTTTGCATCCTTTCTTTAATGATTCCATTCCACCTTTTCTTTGATATTAGTGTAACTTTTGTCCTGCAGTGAGTTGGCCATGGCGAGTTAGCCGTGGCGAATTGTCATAGACCCCTCCCAAATATCCCATTGATCATCCACTCTCCCCTGAAATTTTCAGAGGAGTCAGTTCTGTTTTGGTGATGTATTTTAAAATTTATATACTTGGTTCTGTTCTTTCAGCCATGGAAATTTTTAGCAGATATGGATAATAAATCTTTCAATGAATACCTGGCGACTGTGTAATATAAACAGAAACTTATTTAAATCTGAATTTTCTACTGCTGAAGACATTTATTCCTTGCTGCAATCAGGAGACAAAGCCTTTGCAATAATTCTTCAACCTTATTTGTTCCATCAGGAATGCAGAAAAGAAGTGTCTGTTTGCTGGTGGGTGGCATCACTTCCACAAACATTTCACATCTGTTCACTGCTTGCAAGATACCAGACTTAAATTTATAGACTTCATGCTCTTTTACGAAAATGTCAGAGCGATTTGTATTAAGAATACTCATGCTGGGTTCACTGGACATCTATATCAAGGGCTATGCAGTGATCTGATTCAGAAGGGACACTGGCATTTGGAGCACCCTCGCCTCCTTAAATCAAATCTGTTTTTTCTTGGGACAGACCCCCAAGATTTCAAGGACAGGAGCAGCTTCTGTAAAGACTTGCTGATGGGTGCCATGTGAATATCCTTGTGTGCACTGAATTTCCTTTTCCCCTTCAGATCTGTATTGTTGCTCCTCTTACAGTTTCTTTATGCAAATTGTTTTATTTATATCACTCTACCGCCGTGATGGTGAACCTGCGGCACACGAGCTATCATCCCAGTGCAGGTTCACTGCGCATGCGCAAGTGCTTCCTGACAGCCAGCTGACTGTCGGGTATCTGCTGCGCATGCGCAGGGTGAATGTGGGAGATGTGCATGAATGTGCAGGGAGGTGGGGAAGTGCAGGGGGTTCATGCGCATGGAAATGGGGGAGTGCAGGGAGTGCATTGCATTATGGTGCAGGCACACTTTCGGCACACAACAACAAAAAGGTTATCCATCACTGCCCTGATGCATAGCAAAACCAATCAGATTACCCCATTCTTTGCACCTTAAGGACAAAGCTCAGATACTCAGATCTGCAATTTGCCAGAACCACCACCATAAGATTTTTTTTTCAGATCTATATATTGAAGTTTAATGCATTTGTGAACCTCATGAGATGCATAGTGTCTACTATCACGCTAATATTGCTCTCTCTCACTTCGACAGAAAAAAAAGATAAACATAAAAAAAGCATACTTTCTTGCTTAACAACAGAAATTCTGGTCCTAGGTGCTCTGAGCTTGAAGACATTTTATTACCCAAACTATGTAACATCATCAGTGCTGGTACGGAGTGAGATTTGCTCTCAGTTTATTTTCTAATGGCATACCTCAGGGGTGTCAAACTCATGGGGTACTTCGATGTGGCCCACAGGGCCCCCTGGACACAGTGAAGGATTGGCCCAGTGTCTCTGCCAGTGAAAACGGAGCTCTGGAGGGCTGCAGGAGGCTGTTGCAGCCAAAAACGGAGCTCAGGAGCCCATTTTCACTGGCAGAGCGCTCAGGCCATCATAGGTGTCCCCAACACAAGTGACGTTGCGCTGGCCAGGCGCACCCTGGCCCAGGTTCTCCCTAGCACCCCAATGTCAAACACAACCCTGATGCGGCCCTCAATGAAATCACATTTGACACCCCGGGCTTACCCTGTCAATGTTGGTGAGGGTAGCCTTAGAGGTTCTTTGGTTGGGCTTGTTTGACAGTTCCTTGATTGGAGTATTGTCTACTTGATTGTTGGTCTGATAATCTTGGAATTAATCTATGCTCATCTGGATGCTGAGTGCTGGTGGGGAGGAGTTTCAATCTTTTTGTTCCCATTCTGGCTTGCTAATCGTCTCTTTTGTGTAGTATATAGACAATTGTTTATGCCTACGTGTCTATTGATGGTAATTTGTCAGAGTGCCAGGCTTCTAAAAATTTCCTAGTATTTTTAGATTTGGCTTGGTCAGTTTCCCAAATGAAGCTATTAAAACTGTCCATATGTTGTGAAACTATAAACTGGGAGCAGAACCCATTCCTTACTAGCCCTGATCAGGAGTGGGCTTCAAAATTTTTAGGAACGGGTTCTTTGCCCGGTTGCTGGGTGGGCGTGGCCATGGTGGGCAGGGCCTAGTCAGCCTCCTGTTCAACACAGGAGGCTCTGGAGGCTTTTCTCGAGCCTCCGGGAGGGCGAAAATGGCCTCCCCGGGTTCCAGAGACTCTCATTTCTGGCCTTCCCAAACTTCCAGGAGGCCCGTTTTTCACCCTCCCCGAGCCTCCGTGTGTGCCCTGCACTTATCTGCAGCCAAAACAGGCCGTGTGGAGACTCCTGGGACAGGCGGGGCGGGCAGGGCCAGCCAGGAGTGGGATTTGGGGGTTGTCCGAAATGCACAGAATCTTAGCTAGGGGTTCTCCCAAACCCCTGTGAACCCCTATCAGCCCACCCCTGGCCCTGGGTTACCTAGTTGGTGTAATGAAACATCTGCAAGAAAACAACCAAGTTCAGAGAGCACCAAGGACCCCTTATTTCAACCCTGAGCTACATTCTTCTTTGTTGCTACCAATTATTATCATAAATTGAGACCCAAGTGTGATGAATAATCAAGAGCAAAAGTTACCTGAAGCCCAGGAATATTTGGATCCCTCTCAATTGACCATCTCCCCTCATGAAGTCCTGGTGTTTCATTTGGACTGTTGATCACTTCTACCTCGTGGAGTGCATAAATGTCTTCTGGCAAACTTATGGCCAAGACTTTCCCTGGTTTCTCTTGAATGTCTATGCTATCTGGCATTCTCACCAACGAGTGGGTGAAGTCTGCCTCCCTTTGTAACATAGTGTGCAGCTCCACTGGGTGATCAATTAAACAAGCCCCCTGGATATTATCTTTCTCTGTTTTCAAATGCACGGTCTTCAGCAAAATGAGGTTCTTCTCGCCTTCTGAAGATGATGGGGGCCATTTATCAACTTCTTTCAGCAATTTCTTGAACAAGATGGAATGGACATCTTCGATCTTCTCTGGATAGTTACCGCTACCCCCTTGTCCAAAGGATATGTTTTCCCTTTGCATTTTGTTCTGGACACTTTCGTCATTTTTGATTTGAATGATATGCTCCTCAGATTCTGTGTCCTCCTGGTGATCCATTGTGGTCTTTAAAAAAAGGACTGGAAGAACCCCAAAGGAAAGATTTAGGGGGAGGTAATATTTTCCTAGAAGTACAGTACCACCCTCTCTGCCCCACTTAGCTAGTTTTAGTTTCATTTTAAGAATCAAAACAATAAATGAATGGGAAGCTGGAGCCTCTAACATTCTCCTTATTTACATGGATGGCTTTGAGTCCCATATTCACTGGAAAAAAATTCCCAGAAAATGAAATTAAGTGGCTGTAAGTAATGCTATGCTTTGCTCACAAATGAACCTTGCAAAAGTGACTTAAAATAGTCAAGAACACAGCAAGAAGTGATGGAGTAGATGAGCAGGTAACTTTCAGATAAATGATCTGCTGACCATACTAATTATCATAGACACGTTATGAACCAACATGCCATCCAAATGTCGACCATTACATATCTACCAGATCTGAATTGCAAATATCCAGTCAAACCAGGCAAAGAGTTATAGTTTTCTCTTTACTTCTATTTTGTGATTGTCCACAATTCTATCCCCATATTTGGTAAACTTAGTAGAGGGACCAGTAAGAAAAATTTCAATAGCATACTAGGACTGGGCCATTTTTCAACACGGACTCATTGATGGCGCAATGATTAGGATGCAGTATTGCAGGTTGACTCTGCCCACTGCCAGGAGTTCGATCCTGACTGGCTTAAGGTTGACTCAGCCTTCTGTCCTTCCGAGGTTGGTAAAATGAGGACCCAGATTGTTAAGGGCAATATGCTGACTCTGTAAACTGCTTAGAGAGGCCTATAAAGCACTATGAAGCAGTATATAAGTCTAAGTGCTATTGCTATCATCTAGGTTCTAACCTTGGGTCAGGATGGTATTTTGTTTTTTTAATCCTTTAGAGCTTTTAAAAGGAAACGATAAACGATAAAATCTAAAATCGTATCTCCCTGTTTTTTGTCCTCCTTTGGCAACCCTCCAAACTAAATGAAGTTCTTGGCTATAAAAGTGCACTTTCTATTTTAACCTCAGGGACAAACACTTTACAAGGCATAATTTATGTACTGTACAGTAACATTAAAAATCTTCCTCATCCACCCGAAACAGCTGTCGGGGAAAGTAAAATTTATTTTCCTTTTCCTACAAAAACTCAAAAGCATAACATCGCTTGTCCTGATTTGCCAGCAAAACTCAAACATCAAGGTTAATTATTAAGAATTTGATCTTTTTTTTAAAAAAAGAGGCCCAATTCCTAATTTTTACTGTCTCTAGCACAACTTACACTTTAATTCCGTCTCATATTTTAGAAAGGTCAAATTAGGTTCTCAACATTAATTGATCTCACATGCTGGCAACACACATTCATTTTTTAAACTGGATTATCTCTAAAGCTGTAGGAGTCCTTGTGATCTTTGCTCTGTCTAATCCTCAAACTCGCACTTCTTTTTTTCAATTATGTTCTTTTAATTGCTTTGGCTGCCTACGGAAAATTAAAAGGAGAAAAAAATCGCTAGAGGGCGAACAGTTTTTTTAAAAATATGTATTTCATTTGATTAAGATTTTACTATGCCCCTAACATAGCCTGCTTTAATACCACCAGAAACTCCCCTGATTATTATTCCTCTATGTTCAGTAAGCCGAGAACCGAGTTTTTTTTTTCAGTTTCTCAAATTCAATAACATACTTTAATTTCTCTATTTTTGTTTATACCCGGTTTTCAAATTATTTTGAATTTTCAATCTTCCAGATTTGAATGAACCCGATGTGAAGCAATTGATTCCACCGGACTTTAAACATGCCTTCATGGCGCCTTAAAATTCATTTCTAATGAAATCGGGCGAACTTTCGAAATAAATAGCGCGCACGTTTAGACATCCGTGGGAAATTCCTATTTTAACTCGGTTCCTGAATGACCACGCCAGGGCATCCAGAGTTTCCGCGCACCGGGCAGTATTTCACAGTATTTACTCGGAAGAAATACCTAATGGATTACTCCTCTTAATCCCCGTGAATACTTACTGTGGAAAAATACTGAGATTTACTTCCAAGCAATTAGGCATAGAAAACTCCCCACCTCAAATCCTCTGCCCTTCTGCCTGAATCCCTTACTTCCCGACTTTTCCTACAATTTCCAGATTTTCCCCTCCCTCCAAAGCCACAAATTAACTTCGCATAGATCTACCCCCATCCCCCCAATTTTTATTCTGATCACTTCCCGCCTCCAATCTGAAGGATGCCAGCGGAGCCCCCTCCATCCTGAAAGCACACACACAAAAAAAAGACCCACAATTTCTCTTCTTCTTCCAGCATGGCGAATTGTCTGTGCAGAAACCCGAGGCTTCTTCCCACCCCCCCAAGCGTTGCAAGCAAACGTTGCAATCTGGCTTGTTCGGGATGCAGTCCGGTCTGTTGTACGTTTCTTGGAGAATGGGTCCCTCCAATCCCGTGAGTGTATGTGTGTACAGCGCTGAAAGATAAAGGAAGCTTAGATGTGTCCACCAATGTGTAAATGGGTGTGTAAATCGGGGTTCACTCCTGTGCAAAACTACCTGGAAATTTCATTCATCTCTGTGGAGGAAACATTCACAGACTGGAACTGTCTGTGTGCTGCTTACTCACAAGTAAGCAATTGGCATTGTCCAGCTAAAATCCTGAACAAATATCAGTCATGGGTTCATTCAAAATTTTATTAGGAAGTTACCTTCTAAGCTAGTGGGACAATTATCACAGAAAGCAAACGACCTAGCATATTTTGAGCCTAAACGGGAAGCAAAAGGTTTTGATACCAAGGGGTGGTGAGGATTTGTTGGTTCTTCAAAGAAATTGCCTTTCTTCATCATTAGAACTTCATTCCAAGGTGCACAGACATGTCTCTTGTGGCAGTGTGTTTAATGGGAAGTGCAATTACATTCACTATGGATCCAGGGATAATTTTTCTCTGCAAAGAAAACTCAGGACGAACCCGGATCACTGTGTTGATTTTCAGGCATGCCAGTGGAAAGGGGAACTCCACAACAGCTGCAGCTTGTGGAAATCCTATGGGCCTAGATGCTTCAAAAGATAAGATTGAAAATTTGCACATCTTTACAGTCATAAAAGAGTGGGCGTGTTTATTATAGCCAGATCTTTTTATAATATCCTTCCTGCTTTGTAAATATGGCCACTTAAACCTTGCCCCCAATGGTGACAACAGGAAGGTAGAATAATATTGTATTCCCAACCAGGATCATCTCACTGTGTGTTCTGGGACAGAAGTCAAGGCTGTGGCACACCCTGAATTCTGTGGGAACTTGCAGTGGTTTTTGTGAAAGACTAACAAAGAGAGGGGGTGGGGATCGCTAGTCCAGTCACTTTTCAGTCACTGTAACTTTGCATCTTGAATCACAGGTTCTGGGATTTTTTTTTTTAACTAACAGGTTCTGCAGCCTGGAAAAGTTTGAGCACCTCTGCTCTAGAGCACATTTGACGTCTCAGTCTTACGGAGCTACTTGTTAGAAAGCAACACTTCCCTGCTTCCACCAGCAATTATAGATAGTTTGCTATGAGTTACTGAAATACCAGGAATATTGCAACATTTGTAGATGTAGAAATGGCTGTCAGGAATGTCCTACAAAACTGAGCGGTTTTCACCATTCTTAGGCAATCTAATATCCTGGTATTATTCCTCTTCTGGATTGCCTCCAATTGCATTGGCTCACCAGGGAAAAGGATTTCTTTTCCTCTAACTTTGTCCTTTTGTCCCCCCCAGCATTGTGTTGTGGTCCCTTAACCCAGCATTAATGTTTCCAGGAAAGTTTGGGATGTGAACTAAATTCTAGGCTGCCAAAATGACTAATGTTAAAGCATATTTGCTTCTATAGTCCTGCTCTCCTGCCTTAAGTATATCTTTTAGGGAAGGGGTGTCAAACTCAAGGCCCGCAGGCTGGATCTGGCTCGTCAGGTGCTTAGCTCTGGTTCGCGGGGCTGCTCTGGAAACAGCGAAGGTCCAGCCCACAGTGCCTCTGCCAGCGAAAATGGAGCTCAGTGGGGCTGCGTGTGGCCCTTGCAAGCTCCATTTTTGGCCACAACAGCTTCCTGCAGCCCTCTGTCAGCAAAAACAGAGCTCGGGGGAGGGTAAGTTTTCTCTGGTAGAGGTTCGTAGGAGGCTGTTGTGGCCAAAAACTGAGCTCAGAAGCCTGTTTTCACTGGCAGAGCACTTGGGCCGTAGATGCTTTCAACACGAGTGACCATGCCTACCCTGGCCATGTTGGTCAAGCTGGCCACTCCCATCCTGGCCAGGCCAACCCCGGCCCCCTGAGGTCAAACACAACTCTGATGCGGCCCTCAATGAAATCAAGTTTGACACCCCTGTTTAAGGGCCATGTTGGCTGAGGAGTTCTGGGAATTGAATTGCACACACACCTTAAACTTGCCAAGCTTGAGAAAGACTATTTGGTGTCACTGTACCCACTGAGCAACTATGATTAGCCTCTACATCATTCTCTTTTACAATATTTCTGCAGCATTCTTAGCCTATGAGCAATCTGGTGTTTGTGAAAGCATATACAGTGCAATAGTTGTTTTCCATTAGTCCATGTTCTAGAGTCAGCAATTGCAAAAACAACACCATTTGTAAAACCTTTGGCTCTATTTCTGAGTGACTCCACTTCAAAGCTATTTCTGTTCTTGCTGCAATTCCCATTGGTATTTTATATATTCTCCACAAAACCTTCCTTTTTCTTCTGTTCACTGATAACTGATGAACACCGCTAAATCAATCAGAGACCGACTTAACTATAGAAGTGGGGCCAAATGGGTAAACCACAATCTTTTAACAAACTAGAGAACCTCTTCTGAACAAGATTGACCAAAATCAGTTATGTAGTTTCCTGCCCTTTTAAAGTAGATCCCAACCAGCAACTATTCTTTTTCACTGTACATCTTTCCTTGGATATAGTCATATAAAATAATCCTCACTAACCTAGAGTTCACTGACCATATCACCTGCCTGACGCTTCGTTTTATTTTCTCTTTATAACCCGGTT